GGTGCATTTTAGATTTTAATTGTGTAATGGACAAACCGAGTCTATGGATGTACATACAGATGTAATATTAAGTTGTAGTTGTTTAAACATAAGAGGTCCTCCCCAGGCTTGGGGATAAAAGCAACAGGATGTAAGCTTGATAGCTCCACTATTATTAGTATGAGTGACAGAGAGGAAACTAGATGTATATATACGTACACATCCCCAATATTATCTGCTTGCTATTTCCTGAAAACATTTTGGATTTACGCGTGGGTCTTGTTGATTTGGGAGTATATCGTCCATGTTATTGTGACATTATTGAAATTTAAATCCTGATTTGTGAGTGTTGTTTCTTTATGGATTATTATCGGTGTGTGTGAGATATGTCGCTGTATTATAATTTAGTCACGGATTACAGTCCTCGGACTTCAGACGTTGTAGAGGAGCCCTATGGTCAGGTACTGTAACTGGATGTACCAAGTGGTACATTTTGCTTGTTTATCTTTATATGTCAGTCAAAGAGAGTTTTTTTTGGTCAGAATATTTCAAAATGCAGTCTTTTCTTTGAGCTTTGTCATTCCCTGTTTGAATAATTTAATATAGATAATAATACCTTTTACAGGACATCATTTACATGTGTATAACTAAATTATATAGATAAGAGAGTTTTTGCATCAATTGGATCTTGGCTTAAGCCACATGCATGGATAAATTCTTTCATTTTTCCTACAGAAATGTTAAGATGGTTCATTATCTACAAAAAAGGAAGTCACATTACAATTCAATGCATGGAAAAAAAGATGTGCAAAACTTTTAAGGACAAGATACTTATATCAGTAGAAGGAAGGTGTTTCCTTATTTTTTTGATAAGACAATTTAAAGTTAAGATAATATCATGGTTTGGTAAGTGCTGTATGTTTTACTGGGTTTTGTATGGGAGTTACACCAACATTATACAGGCATATGACTGTGTCCTATTCAGCAGATGGGAGACCTTTGCTCTGCTTAAGAGCCTTTATAAATGTGATCTACTTCTGCTGGGGAGTTATTCATCCTGCTAAATGTTGTGTGTATTGATTGATGCACACTCTCATTGTTTTTCCTGACCCAAATTCACAGCCAAATGGGGACAGTTTCCCTCGTAGGAAATGTCCTTCCCCCCAAGAAAAAAAATAACTACATTTACCCAATTTTTTTTTTAGATTTCAATGAAACATTCTTCCCAAAATGGATCTAATAGGTTGCTTTTAAAAAAAATATGGGCCAAAAACACCGACTTTTTGTGTTTATAATTTTAAGTACTCTCAAGTTGTATTATGGTAATGATATAAGAAGGTCAATATTTTATCATACTATCCTATATTTATCATGTTTATAAAATTAAATTTCAATTTTCATAATTCTATTGAGCATAAAATCAGTACAAGTAGTTTGCTCTATTTAATTAAAATGGCTGAAATACATGTAAAAAGTCTTGGCTAATGGTCCATGGCCACTCACAAATTCATGTTAATCTTAGGATTTGATGTCTTCACATTATTTTATGATATCGTGTACTCGCTTAAATAAGGAATCAACAGTGTATTGTAACCTTGGGAAAACTGGATGGGTTTCACTTCTTGATAAGCAAGAAAAAAAACTTCCTTGGTACTTTGACTATCTTAACATATTACAAATGGTTGTTATGATAAGTGGTCTCTATATTTTCATAATTTTAGAACAAGTGTGTAAGGTACAGTAGTTTGTGATAGACTTAAACTTCTGGGTTTTTTTTCCAGATAAGAACAAGTCTCAATAAAGCTTATCTGTGGTCCCCGGTTACTCGTCAAATTTCGAACATTTATTAACATTTTTAAAAATTAAATTTTATTATTAACTAATGTCTTTATTATTTGAATCATCATCTAAAAATGTCAAACAATAGATATAGGCAGCATACGAAGCTGTGCGTTGAAGGTAAGGTCCTTTGATTTTCATGAATATCAAAAGAAATCAGTGACAGGTACACACTTCAAAGCTTTCGTAAACACCGAGCACAGGTTTGTTCAGAGTCGAGTTTGAAATATAATGTGCATATTATATGTGTAAAGGTTGAGTGAAAATATCTTTGTTGAACAACCTTGTGCTCTATGTTTTTTAATTAAAAGTATTGAGATTTTGAATCTCTTCGCTGACTTCATTTACATGCGATTAACCTCTTTATGACCTGTTTAGAATCATAACAAGCCACGTGGATTTGTATCGTTACGGGTAAATGCCCCCAGTAATCGTGCTAGTTCTCAGTTGAAACGTACTCAGTTTTATATCGATCAGCATGAACTTGTTTGGTTAATCTTGTTATAGCTTTTATTGCCAAAGTTTTGTTAATAGAAAATTCTATATGTAGTTGATTGTGAATCTTGAACATATTATTCGTCTTTGAAAAAAAATATCATACCAAGATATTCTTTTTATAGTATCTAATATAAATGTCTCCGCCCATTTCCATGTAATAGAGAAACTGTAGTCTGATTGGGGGAAAATGTTCCGGCATTTTTTAGTGCGATAGGTGTTAAAAATAGGCTTGTATTTTTTGATATGTTTGATTATTCATTATAAATACACAAATGAATGTTTAATTAGAAATACTTCGTTATACACAATGAAAACAAACTAAATACCGTATGCTAATATTTAACCGGTAAACCAAGGATGTAAAAAGGGACCACACTACTATTTTTAGGGATATGTCTAAGAAAAAGATAGGATTAATAGGGGGTGAAATGATACGCCTCCTTCACGATATGATACGTATCGTATAATTTTGTCTTGATACAGTTATTTTCGATACGATACATTTTGATAGAAAGAAACAAGTTTAACGTTGTTTTATGTTTTGTTTCATTAAATCCTGTCACTGAATCTACGTGCAAATTGACTAAAGAAATTAATTAGAATGATTTGACTGTTAAAGATTGTTTTACAAACTACCAGTCCTCAAAAATTTAGGTTTTTAAAATTAAATTACGCCGAGTAGCGTGTTTTTACTTATACCAAACCTGGCTGAATAACAAACCCGACCAAAAAATGAACTGAACCGAAAATGGAGATTTTGTACCGTGTATCAAACGGAGAAAAAATACCGCAGTGAATCGATACCACTGTAAAGTGTGAACAGTTTCACACCTAGATGGAAGAAGGGGTTTGCAGTTTAAAACAGTATACACATGTGTAATTTTGAAATTTTGCAAGAGTCTAAGGCTCTTTCGTCATGTTCATCATTCACATGTTCAAGATCTCAGATCCCTGCACCTGTTTAAGTGCAGTACTCCCAAACTGTCTTTTCTAATTCAGACCATCAGATATTCGGAGATACAACTGTATAGCTTGAGGATCAGATTTCAGCCTAGATGCAATTTGTTGAGATTTAAGAACTACAGTCAAATCTCGATATCTCAATCTTGATGAGACTGAAAAAAAACTTAGAGATATCCAAGGATTCGAAATATCGAGGGTAAAATACTTAAAGAATAAGTGGTATTTGGGATATCGGTGTTCCAGATACTGAAGTTCAACTGTATTTTATGCTGTGTTCATTTAACCATTGAGTATGGGTTTTCTGGTCTAATCTACTGTTTCAGATAGTACATTATACTCCTTAGTAATTTTTAACCTGCACCACCTTAAGTTTGATTCACAAACTTATGGTCCCTATTATAGTTAGCCTAGCTGCTAGGTGTACATATTTATTAGCCACAAGACATTGTCTTTACAGATGCTGAGTAGACTGTGTAAATACAAGACTGACTGTATACATATTAAGTGGCAGATTTAAGGGGGGTGCACCCCTAAAATTGTCAATGTTAGCGTAAATAATAGTTTCGTTGAGAAAATGTAAAAAATGTCTACTTGGTAGACCTCATTTTTACCCTACAAAATCTCTAGAATCCACGAGCTTCTGGGGGCTTCGCCTCTTGGGCCCCCACCAGGACTTTGCTTTGGACCCACTGGGGGCCTCAAGGCAGCCGCCAGACCCCTGCCTACCCCCCTAACTTCCATTCCTGGATCCGCACCTGATATTAAATGATTTTTGGTAAAGTAGAGGACTGGATTTATTTTTTAATAAATCAAAAGTGGAATCAGTTATTACACTAACATGACATAAAAAGGTCATGATGGTTCTGTATTGTAAACTGGATTGTACAAAGCCAGAAATTAGAACAGGAAACTCAGTAACTGTTTTACAATTAATTGTATTCATATAATAACAATACTGATTAGCAATTCGTCAGTTTGAAATCCAAATGCGACTACAACATGTACAAGTATGAATTGTTGAGATGAGGAAATTAAGACCTATATTTATGTACATAATTAAAAAAATTATTCACAGCAAGAACTATTCACAATTGAAAAAAAAAAAACTTCCAAAACTCGCTGATATTTCTGTCACACAAATGAAAGTTGGTTTAGTTTACAGTATGTATATTTTGACTGCTTTACAAACTATGCCATTATAACAGAGTACTGCTAGAATAATTACATATATTTATTAGAGTTTTCTTCCCATGAAAGTCTGATGTAAACATAACAGTTTTGCTTCATGATTTGGAAATATCTTTATGGTTTTACGTGTAACAGAAAAGACGTGTGATGTTTACAATTTCTTGTAAAATGCCTACATTGGGATGTATTGTAATGCATTTTAATAGTTAAAAAAGTACAATGTACTTGCTGAAGAGATATATGCCCATAAGTACTAAAGTCCTTTTGTTCCAATGTACAAGTCACTACAAAGGTGCTTTATTGTACTGCAAATCACTTTTTATTCACGAGAACTTTATTTTCGTGTATTTACCTGAGACCATCTCCTCATGAAAATTTCATTTTTGTAGATAATTATACTAGAGATTTTATATGCCATATAACTATCCCATGAAAATTAGGTTTCAGGAAAATTATGATGATCTACAGTATATTATAAATGTAATGCTCACACACATAAACATGTATAAATGTATTTCCATGTTTGATTTTAGGAGAGAATCCAAGAGGACCTTTATGCCAACGTTACGGAGATCCATTCAGGGGACACAATCAAAACCCCTGATTCACCACCCCCCTCAACAGAGGGGAATTACTTAAAGACACTTTTGGGGGTATGGGATAGTTTTCTGGACCCTGTCACGAAGCGAATCTACTACGTTAATAGGGAAACACATGAAAGAACATATAAACCTCCACGTCCCGCAGACAGGCAAAAACAGGTGAGCAAAACAGCCCCATTAACACCCTTAATAAATTACAAATGACTACTATTTTGTACATATGGTCACAGAGAATTTGCTTTGGAATGATAGAAGAGTTTAGACTGACATAACTCCCACCATAATTACACCTCAATAAAGTCCAATTAAAGTATATTATGGCAGGTTATGTGAATTACTAGACGGTAAATATTGCAAGTCAGTTTTATCTGCTACCATTCCTACAAACTTTTGGCTGCATCACGTAGAATTTGCTCATTCTCATTAATATTTATTTTCTCAGATTTCAAATGTTATTGACCATGCAGTGATACATTCTTCTGGGAATGAAAACTTTTGCCATGTCTTGTTTAGCAGTTGTCCACAGTTTTGGATGTAAAATGTGTATTGAATAATATGTAAAGATTTGTGTATTTCCCCTTCCTTAAATTTGAAGAGTGTCATCCTTGGTCCAAATTTCCTCATTCGGTGTGAAAAACTGTTCAGCTTATTTACACTTTTGTATGCCTAGCTATTTGACTGTCCTCAATTCATGTTATTATATACCAATTCAAATACAGTCAAACCTTGTTATCTCGAACTTCAGGGGACCAAGAAAATACTTCGAGATATCCAAGGATTCGAGATATCCATCTTTTGAAAGTAATTCAGCTATAGATTTCTGTTTTTTTAATATTTGAAAGAATGACTCTAGACTGCACCCAAACTCCCAAAAATGATGGTGCCCATTTATTAGCAATTTTCTGGCTCAGAGGAGAGGGACTTAGGGAACCTCTCCTAGACCCTCCTCTGCACCCTCCTTCTCAAGAAACCTGTGATAGCCTTAAAGATCTGAATTCAGATAAATGCATAAATCTTAAAAGTTTGCTAAATTTGAGTTGCAGCAAAACACGTTGTTTCTTAATTATTATTCTGCTGTATGACTTGATATAGCAGAGATAATTACACCTGGTACCTTATCTTGCCTATATTAGTCAGACTTTGGGGAGTTAAATCTTGGTTCAAAACTCTTATATATAACTAATTATAAGTTAGTCCCTGAAACATTGTCATTTTTCTGGACAATATGATGAAATTAAGTACAGTATTTTCTTAACAATCTGAACGATTATTATTGCCAAAAGTTGGACATATCAAATATTGATGTACCCAAAATAGAATATATATGTGAAATTAGCAACCGATTCTGGCGAAAAATTATACCAACTTATAAAATTCTTCCCAAAAATCGGAAAAAATACATCTAACTTATGTGAATAAGGTTCTTAGAACTAAGTAGGGCTAGAACAATATGTTAGCCTGGCTGCTAGTTGTACTAGCAAAAATATGTTAAGTGCCAATTAATAATTAATGATAGTCACCTTAGTAATGTATTACTTTGCATCAATTGTTATACAACCTGGAGTTGTTTTTCGGAGTCCATTTTAGGGAATTAAAATGCTTATTTATATGATTGTATACTTTTTTGCTTGACTTCACCAAACTTGTTCTGAACTTTTTCTTGTTTTTTAAGGATATTTGTATAAAAAAATTGGCAACTAGCAGGTAGTTAAATGATCATTCAAGAGAGCTAGATATCTAAGTTAAGGATAGGTTTTCCACTACCCATTTGAAAGCAGCCAAGTCATCTCATTCAAAAGATTAAAATTTAAAATCTGTTGAGTTCACTTTGAATTAAATGAATTTTAATAGACAATTCAATGTGGTCTTATTATACCAGCTTCAAGGGTTTGAGCAAGATAATTTTAGAGACATCTCTGATATGGGAAACTAGAAAAAATTGAAAAAAAAATATACAATAATGTTTTATTTTATTGTTGAAATGTAATCACACATTGTTAAGCCCATTTAGCAATGTTTTGATTTTACTATCTTAATGTAGGAAATCTCAGATTATGTGAATCCATATAGCTTTGTCCAAGAGCATTATGTTCATAGAAGGGTAAGATGTGAAGTTTGTCATATTATTTTGTATTGTACGTGAAATCAATTTTATTTCTGGAGAGCTGTTTTCTATGAATACATTAAATCTACTGTTAACATATTTTGAGTGAGTATATATCAGGTGTTTTAAATGATTGACAAGTATGAATAATGAATTCTTCTCAGTATATAAGAATGTTGAGCCAATCCATGAAGTGTTATTGATTTCACTGTGTTTTATTATTACTGTAGCATTAAAATTCAGTTACATGTGGTATTTCAATATTTTAAAAGTAACTATATTGTATACAGGGAAATTTTCACCCCCATTTCATTTTTGCCCCTTTCGCCGTACTCTCGGGCGAATTTAAAATGGGGCAAATTCAAAGAGCGCAGTATAATTTCTTTTTAAAAAACTGTGACTTGTCGAATTTAGAATGAGACAAAATTGTTTGCAAGTGTGAAAGGGCGAATATAACCCTGTAAACAGTATGCTTACTTATATACGTGTACATTTAAATACTATGCTAAATATTCATATATGAATAAGATTATCTCTTTTATTTAAAAAAAAATATTTGAAACCTGTGATTTACATTTTAAATTATTGTTATAGTGAATGTAACAAGGTTAGGAATCTGAGCACTAATTTATTAGCAATGTTCAGAGATAATTTCATAAAGAAATCTCAGAATATTATTGGTTGCGATACTGTAGATTTTTATATACCCAACTGTGTTTCACTCAGTTTTACTGTTGATTTCATGCAATCTTGTGACCATGTGATCCAACTTTCCAGAACACCACACTTTGGTTTTTCTGAATCCATATTAGGGGCACCCCTCTCTGAAACTGATGACGTAGTACACAGTAAAAATGACATTTTTTCTTGCATATCAAATAGTTCCTTAAAAAAATGTTTTGTTTTATGGATAAAAGTTGTATAATTGATCCCAAAAGTTTTCTTTTATCATATTTTGCGAATTATAGAGGGGTATATAATAAATTTATCATTATAACAGTAACTTGATCCGAAGAACCAAATCATGTACATCTTGTTGACAGGCACGGATCATTAGATCAAACTTCCCATCTCCTTTGATGTGATGATCCGCGCCTGTCAACTTGACGTGATATGGCTCTTTGGATCAAGTTACTGATTAATACTTGTAATATATATTTCCAAAACATAACATGAGGAATTTATTAATTGTGTAATTTTGCAAGAATCACCACTTGCAGAAAAAATACTTCTAGGCTAAGCTTTGAAATACATGTACAAAATCATGATTAACAGTCCACTCAAGAATACGTGATATGTCCTCACAATTTGACCTGCAGGTCATGATGATTGGTGATACTGAAGACTTAAAATAAGGATCCTATTTTCTTCTTGACCAAGGATTGGCATTGTATACATTTCATGAAATTAAATGATTGTATTAAGATTTGGTTGTTACATACGGTCTCATGTTATATGATCTTTACAACATGTACATCTTTGACAATAATAAATTCATAATTATTTACATTATCGTTGATAAAATTATGCAAACTGCATGTACAATGTAGAATATACATACCGGTATTAAATATTTTATGTTTATAGATCTTGAAAATGTATCTCCTATCTATATACTTATGTTACACTATTAACTTCAGGGTTAATTAGATGATTTTTAGGCCCTGAGATTGAAGATCGGGGGGCATATTGTTTTTGTCCTGTCTGACCGTCTCTCTGTCTGTATTTCTATCATAAACTTTAACCTTATATAGCATCCAAATAACATTTGAACCACAGAATTAAGAAATTTTATATTTGACAGAGTTTAAAATGTACCAGGTGTTTGAGAGGTTTAATGTTTGTCAACACATTTTTAACTTGCTCGTATTTCTGAAGAAAAAATTATAAAATAATTCAATCAAATTTAATTGGTCAGTATTTTAGACATTTTGGAAAGACTTTCTATAAATAGTGCACACATTGTTTTGAAGGCTCCACGTGAGGTAAATTTCAGTCATATAAGGTAAAAATGGTAAATAATTGATGTTCAACCTAGGACTTACTGCTTCTGATCTAAATCATTATTCATCTCGCTACTTCGGATGTCTTAATTTGATGCCGATCAATGTAATACTATTTTGAAATTGTTGATCAATGTTTTTTGAAATGTTGTTATTATATTGACTATTTAAAGACTTTATATGCAGATCATCTTGTCAGGAGCATTTTTACCTTTATAAAATTTTATTTCCAAAGCTGCTCTTTAGCAATATTTTTGCCATTCTTTTCAAATATTGCAGCTATAGGGACGAGGGCCCTTGCTTTTTGCTTCTGATCTAAATACATTTCCAAATGTATGGCTATATATTACATCATGCAAAATGCTTCATTTTGCCTGGAGCATTTTAACCATACCAAAATTTTGTTACCTTGACATTACTTATGACCTTAACCTGACAACTCTCAATTTTGCAATACATGTAATAAATACAGTATAACCCTCAGAATGACATTGATGTGTTAAAGACATGCTTCTAGTTCATCAGTTGGAACTGTTAATCAGTACAAACTTTGCAATTTTAGGTTGAAGCCTTGAACAGTAGGAAGGTCAGTCTACCTGAAATCCTCGTAAACAATGATACCGTGCCTAGTGGATGGCGAGTGGAAGACAGTGCTGCGGGGAAAATATTCGTTAACTCTGCCACAAATGAGAAGGTTATTGAGAGTTCTATTATTAGTTGCCTGTTCTAGTAGTAGTCAGTAGTGATAATAAATATAATAGGGTGTAGTTTCTCTAATTGTAGGTTTAATAGTTTGTGGTTCTGAATAATTAGAATTAATTGGCCTAATACATGAAAATAAGTGTATAAGTTGTATCTTATGTTTTCAGAAGGATTCAAGACACATAGTAATATTTCATTAAAATAAAACAAAAAAAATTTTGATATTAAAAAATAATCATACTTTGACTTGAATGCTAAATAATGCATATTAATAGCAAACAACCACTTATTAATCAAAATATATAATTTTACATCCTCAATGAAGTACAGTGTATATGCTTGTAAAAATGAAGTATGGATGATTCTATTTCAGTAATATATCAATAGTTGATGTTTTATATTATTGACCCCCTCCAATTTCCCTGATACACTTTTTTTTAAAATTGTGGTTAAGTTCATTGCTTCCTTCTATGTATCAAAGCCGTTTTTTTAGTGCTTTTTTATGCATTACTTTGAGTGTCTTGGCTTTGTTTATATGCTTATATGCACATTTGTAGTGGTCTTATAATTGCTATTTCATGCATCAATCACTAGAATTATGGAAATATTGCAGCATTTTTATTTTATTATTACTGTTCAAAGACTAGAAGAGCTTAGTACATATATATGCATTGGTAAGGTGTAGATCATCAATGGTTGAACTGTGTTGCCCTAGTTACTGAAAATGGAAATTTATATATTAATGTAAAATTCTTCAAAACAATACATCTCCTACAATTTTGGTTTTGATTTCGATAAAACTTTGTGCACAGTCATGTAGACTTTATCAAGACACTTTATTCTGTTTATCATTATTTTTTTATTTTGGTGTTTCAGTCCAAGTGTAACTCTTCTTGTCCACTTTTACAGAACACACCAGTAGAGCTACAGCTTCATCAGAGACTTTATTTTCCTTTTGATCCTAAATTATGGGACATATATAAATAAAAGTTTTTAGATATTTAGATTCCATTAGGAAAAAAGATCGCGACATGGAAGAAATTTTACTTCAGTGATTAATTCAGTAGTTAAAGTCAAATAAAATTATTCAGTTTAGAGAGTAAGAAGAAAAGCATAAGTTTAATGCTTTATGGAGTAAAAATAAAAATACAAATTTTCAGAGATAACTGCTAAAAGGGATTTCAAATCTTTAATTGTGGAAGAGAGTTATTTTAAATGAAAAGTTAAACTTTCAGTTTTCAGCTGATTATAATAGTAGATGTAGTGTAGAGATTTTGTGTTTTTGTTGCACCCCCTTAATATCTCTGTTCATAATCACATCTTCTCTACTTTATGCATGTGTCATAGTGGGCCTCAAAAGTCAACGAAGACGGTCAGCGGTATTACTTCAAAATTGACGGTGATGAGTCTGCCTGGGAACTCCCGAAGGTGTGTGCATGGTCTATATATAAGTACTGCATGTATTCCACCATAATCATGATGACCAATTGACCATTGATTGTAGTCTTAGTCATGGGATCTCAGTTACTGCATCTAGTTATGTTAGGATTTAGCTCACCTGCATCAGTCTTGCAATGTTTTGATATCTTTCATACATCAATTGATATGCATGCTCAGAGTGTTGTGGGAAAATGTATCACATTTCCTACTTTTTCTCGAAAACCAATGGACCTATTTCAATTGACCTTATCTGAAAGTATTTTTGCATGAAGTGATTGAAATTTGTTGAAATAAAGTGTCATACTTTTTAAAAAGAAATAATGTATAAATACAAAGAAAATTCTCATGACCCTAAACCAGAAAAGACAACTTGATTTTTTTTCTGTCCATAATTTCATTGTTCACACCTGTTTCACAAAGCCTGGACGGACCCAACTATGTTGGGCTTATAAGTGAATTGGAAGATTGGCTCTTCACTTTAACATTTGTATGTTAAGACTTAACCATCATCTTATTTTTGCATCCCAAACAATTATAGACTCCTGTGTAGATTTGTATTGAACATTCATAAAGGACAAGATAGGCTAAGACACCCTTTTGGCCCCTGGTTTGGGGTGTCTTTTAGAATGATGCCACAGTTTATCAATATAAACCTGTTGCCACCAATGTCTTCAAATGAGTATTGGTTCTAAATTATGGGATACCCAGAGGTCACAGGAAGGTCAGAAAATATGTCAATTTCCGAATTTTCTCATTTTTACGCGAATTTCCATCGATTTTACACCACATTTTGTTTCAGAAAACATAGAGCACAAGCTTGCCTATCTACCAAATTTATATATTTCATTCACTAGTATCAGATGCACCTTATGTATAAAAATCTCAGATAGGCAAGCTTGTGCTCTATGTTTCCCGAAGTGAAAAGTATCTCAAATTTGACAAATTTCCAACAGAATTGAGGAAATTCGGGAAAATGTCCTACTTCTGCACCCTCTTGTGGCCTCTGTGTAAGTTTTGAATCAAAATTAGAGCTTGTTTTAAAACAAGCATTGTTTTGAGTTCTTAACTACGAACTATCACAATTTTAACTGAAACTGATTTTTACATCAAATAAGGGGCCTATTTGGCCGTTACCATACCTTGTCCTTTGCATTTACCAACCAAAGACCTCATGAAAATGATGTGCTACACTTATTTGTAAAGCAAAATCTCATGGTCACAAAATAAAAATGTCACACATTTTGTGTGGTTTGCAAAACTTTGATTTCTATAAATAAGAGGTAGCAGAGAACATTATTCAAAGGTCAAGGTCAGAAAGGAAGGAACTTGTATTCTATTTATATATAATTAAAATTATTTGTTATATAAGTGAAAAACATTCATCACAGGTTCAGACTATTTCAAGATTCAGTGACATATTCAGAGTATTATAACCAGGAAGTTTCTGTTATAAATATATACAATGTATTTTATTGTTGCAAAGGATACGTGCTCTTCTGTTTATTTGTCAGATTATTCATATTAGAATAACAGAACATGTATAGTATGACAATTGTTTGTAACTAAGCCCATCATATGCTTTTAGAAATATTAATTTAAAAAAAATTGAAATAATGTTTGCTAGCTTGAGATCCTTGGTAAATTGTAAATTTAGCTACAGTCCTAGGGACTCTAGTTGAGACTGCAGGCTTTTTTAAATTTGAGTGTGCAAATGTATCTTGTATCCAGGTTCTTTAGATTCCAACATTGTCTCCTTGCTTAATTATCTAGAGTGTGCTTCTGTAGCTCTTCTTCTGTTTTGCAAAACTACAAAACATAATCAATTTAGACAATTTAGGTATCTCAAAACATTTATATAATAAATAATAGTGATTCTCATGATCAGCATTTAGTATTTACTTCAACATTCCACTTATCCACACATTGTCAGTATAGCTAGATAAGCATCAAAATTATTTTTCAGATATGAATCTTTAAATTATAATTTATGTATTACCAGGCAAACACTTTAATTACTTTACTCTGTATATGTATAATTATTATATAGAAGAAATCCACTACCAGAGTATTTAACTCTCAAACTTTCATTTTTATTCTTTTTCCATACTAGGATATGCTAAATTGTTCATGTTATAGGACTTATTTTTCATTGTTTATTAAAATATTGAAAAGATATCAGATCATTCAGTATTTGTTCTAAGTAAGTCAAATGTCTAGGAAATTAACATACATTTTGGTCTTGGTCATACAAGTATGCCCTTTTGTAAAACTGTGAGGATCAATCGATTACAAGTCTTTACAAACAAATTTTTAGTGAAATCTCTTTGTAAATCATCTAAACTTTCAAAAGTTTTATTTTTTATGGAGGATGCATGGCGTCTTAATTATATATGTTTGTCAACGCCTTATTTCTTGTACATAATTGAAAAAGACATTTCCAAAACATTTCTTTATCATTTGCATCATGGGATTTACTAATGTGTACAAATTGTGAAAAGTAATGAGGATCGAATTCTTTATTTAATTAAATCTAAATTTTCAGTTCCCCCCCCCCCCCCCCCCCCCCCCCCCACATATTTGTATTTTCATAATAAAATTTCTATGCCTCTTGTATTGCCAAATGTCCCATATTTCTAACAAACCAGACCAATGTCCCAAGAAACGTTTTGGTGTAGAATTAAGTGAAGGTATTAATTTAAGGCGTTCAAAATAGTAATGATGATAAAGTACTTATAAAATTTTTCAGCTTTATATTTAAGTAGACAGATGTAAAATAATTGACCGAAAGCACAAAAAATTGATATAAAATAACAAATTGTACTAAAAGTAATTTTATAGTGAAGAAAAACTTAGTTTCATCAAATAAATGTTGAATTATACCCTCTCTGTTTGTTGATCAAAGCTGAGGTAGCGTCTGGGGGAAAATATACAGGACTCTCACATTGGGCAGAGTGTGTAAAAATTGGGAAAATTAGCAATCCTCTAGGGAATTTTGGAAAAATGATTTTTATAAATTGAGTTTCTGGTGTTTGTTACTACCTTTTTCTGTATAGAAGAATATGAATAACTAGTTCAGTTATTACATATTACATATGTAACTGTAACGTTCTTAAATCTTGGGGGAAAATGACTAATGGAAAAATCAACACATTCAGTTAGAAAAAAAATTTCTTTTTTGAATTGGGGATGGGCTCCAAATATAGACAATTTAAAGCCCTGAATATATATGTGCATATTCTAATATTTTGTTGAAATGTTGCCAAGACTAATCCTCCAGAAAAAAAAGAGTTGCTGAATCTTTGTTAATGCATGCTATAGTTTTTAACAATGTGCATTATCATTTTAATTGACTAAATGACTAATCAGAACATTTTTCTCTGTTTATGCTTTTTTTACAGATTGATGAACCAAGTAGTCCGCCCCCTGTTGGGCCCCCTCCTACACGTTCCCCTAGCAGGTCCCCCCGAATGGCACGATCGGTAAAAGCCCAATCCTTGATCATTGGGAACAAAATTAACTTTCAGCCCTATATGCCTACCATACATGCATCTGCACAAATTCCAAAGTCGCAAACTTTGCCTGCCAACATGTCTACCCCTCTCATAATGGTATGTTGTCATGGTGACAAGGGTGGACTAATTGAGAAAAATTCTCCATTTTACTTGTTAATGATTTGCTTTTAATGCATTGAAAACCAGCCTTTCATTTTCTAAGTTAAAAATTGTTCAGATTTTAGTTGTTTTAAATTTCTCCTTAGTTTGTTTTAAACTGGCCATTATGTATATGCATGAAACCAGGAAAACTTTTCTTTATCCATTTGTTGGTTGGTTAACTTATCATCCCTTTGTTTTTCCTTTGCTGATATTATACTTAATTATATTGGCTTTCTTTTCATTTCAGCTTTTTACGTGTTGAGCATACATTTTTGTGAAATAATATTTTTTATGGAATTCTGTAAAAATTTTTCTCAATCAGACTTTGATAATACACTGTGTCTAAATCAGTTACTTTACGTTTCTTTTCTATGCAGATCTTGACATTGATAAACTTTAACTGGAAATGTTTTGTCCATTTTGTTGCAAGAGCAGTTGATTGCATCCACTAAATTTCATTTTAATTCCACATCTAAATAAAGTAACTTTTAGGAGCTAGTTTATTAAGATGTAGATTAAATTAAATTAAATTAAATTAGATTTAAATTAAATTAAAAAGTAAAATAAAATTTAATATCCTTGGAACCTTAAGCTTTAAGAATTATGTCCGAAAATAACTCCTTAAGTGCATGTCAACATGTAGTTCAGATGATGTCTTTAAGTTAATTTTCTATAAATTAAATATAAATGTTCAGCAGGGAAACTGAAATTTAAAATTGGTGTTAGACATAATAAATCCAAGAAGCATTTAGTAGAACTTAATTAAGTTCCCTTGACTGTAACTGCACACCAAAGAGTTCTGATTACGTGGAATTTTTATGTAGTTAAGAGTAATCTGCCCATAGATCTAAAATAAATAAATTGAAATCTAAAGTTTATCAATCAATTTTTAATCAATTCAAGCATTTTTAACATTTTTGATAGGCCAAGATAAATCAATTGAACACTTCATCTGCATTTTTCCCCTCTTGGGTAAACAACAGTGATTTCTGCTCATCAAAACTTTGTTGACTGAGAACATTTTTCCTGAGGGTACATGTAAAAGCTAGGCACCCTATGTTGAAAATAATATAAATAAGCTCAGTATTTTCCCCTGTATACAATATAATTTTCTCAGTGTCTCAGTGTGAGAGAGTCCTCAAGGTCACAGGCAATCAAAAAGAAATTGTAATACATATACAGAACAAACGTAAAAAAGTGACCATAGGATTTAATTCTTTTAAAAATGTCACCAGAGGCTGTGAAAAGAAGCTCAATCATAAAAGTTTTGAATTTTTTAAAATAATAACTTACCTGATGAGGAAATTCTGAATATGTGATTTGTATTTCATATCTGTATCCTAGGAAAGTTACCATGACAATAAACTGTGTATGAAGGTCATTATTTATCCATGAATAACAGTTTGTCATAAATTTAAATTTAATACTAGAGATAAATGTAACCCATTTCACAGGTATTTGAATTGAGTTGCTAATAAAAATTGAATTAAATGTTGATTAAAACGTAATTATTTATCTTTTATATTCTTAAAATAACCAAAGTTTAAATTTTTATTCAAAATGCTAAATGCAAAATAACTTAAAATACAAATTAGACCATTGAATTAAAAGAAAATATGATGTATCAGAATTTATTAATTATTTTTTTTTTTAAAAAAAGAAGAAATTTTTTGCTTTTTAAAATCATATTTTTGATTAATTCTTGGTAACATTTTAGATTTAAGGTTTGATTTAATGAATCTGACTTAATATGTACTTACCACAAAATCTGAAAACAAAAGCTAGACAGCATGAATCATTGCATAATAATTGTGTGCTAGCAATGATATCATATTTATGTGTGTGTGTGTGTGTGTGTGTGTGTGTGTGTGTGTGAATAAATTAAAACTTTGCATGTTTTTGAGAGAGGCAACTTTTTACTGTCTTTGGATGAATTTAGCATGATTTTGTTTTATCATGTGTTTATGAGTTTTGATTATACTTTTATTGATAATGACTTTAGATAATTGTGCACAGCTACCAAATATCATTTACTTATTGAACGATATATAATCTGATTCAATCACTTTTGTTCATTATTATAATCTTTTTAAAAAACTTTTCTGGTTCTTTCTACATTAAGGTCATGCAGAGTTTTTAAATTAATTCATAATTTTATAATAAAAAAAAAAAACCTTTTCTTGATGTAATGCATAACAAAGCATAAATTAAAAATAATAAATATATATAAATAAAATGCAAAGTTATTTATAAGGGTACATATATATAGTGTGGTATTGACTAAACAAGCTTCAATCAAAACATGCACTTTGAATTGATGTATTCTGTGCATGAAGTGGTCCAAAGATTCTGTTCTAAATATATATTTTTGTTAGATTAAAGAAAACATAATTAATTATTATAAAAATCATATAAGGCAGCCTTGCAGCTTGAATCCTACAATGAAATCAGTTCATATAAATTTTCTCACAGCTTTGGAAGGTTCTATGACTATAAAGCAAATATCTATAAAATATAAATGAAAAATATTTTTAATATTTTCTTTGTTTCAATAATGCTAATTGTGAAAATAAATTTTAAGATTTATAAGACATCAGATTACCTCTGTATCATTTTTGTAAATATTCTACATAGAGATGAAAGGATTACAGTTTTTCAAGAAAGAGAGCTATTTAACTTGTATTTTATGTTACTTGTACTATTCTGCAGTGTAATGTTTTGGAATGACGTTGACCTTGTTATTGTAGGAAAGTGTTTCCAATGACCAAAGAAGTGCAACAGTGGCTCCACAGATGCAGGTGATATTATATATACTGGTGTATGTAAAACATTATACAATTAGCACTGTTTTTGAGGTCAGCATGATGTTTTTGCCACCTGAGGAGTACTATATTCACTGAGTTCAAAGGACGAGGTGAATATTGTACTTTGAAGGTGGCTAAATCATTGTATTAACTGAAAAAACAGCAATAATTGTATTATTATATGATTCAGTGATTAAATGTTGCAAACTTATTAAGCAATCCATGCCATCTTGTTTATTTTTAAGCCCTATCCAAACTCAATGAGAGAAGCGGGGTTAAAATAAACGTTTAATTTAATTACCAGTCATCTTAATTTGGCATTTTAAATTTTTTGTTTAGATGCAATGTAGAAAAATAAATGTCAGGCACGTATATAAGATCAATTTTGAATGGGGGGGGGGGGGCATTATAAGGGAAAAAATTGACAACTTACCTGAAAAAAGGGGGCAATTCATATGCATATATATAAACTAGAGATGTCAATTTTTCAAGAGGTTGTACATTGCACTGATCTAAAAAAAAATTTTGAAGTTCCTTCCAAATATTCTGTTTCTGTAGCAATGTTGCAACAAATAATGAAGAAAACAGAGACAAAAAATCTGGGAATAGCTGTCTTCTCATTTGTTTTCTGTGACTGTTAATGCTGATTTTACAGTCGCAAACTGAGTTTTACTGGCAACACATCATCGGAACTGGTCAAGTGGATGTTTGCAACCCTTAAATCAGCATTAACAGTCGCAATTTACAAATGAGGAAATACATGTAGTTATTACTATTTTAATGCAATTTATGCATTTTGTTTGATGTTTACATCTTATTTTTTTTGGTTATATGAAGTACATCGTGAAGCAGCATGTTTTGCGTTGTTCTATTATGACGTCACATTCAAAAGCTTTAACTCTTGTTAATACTCATTTAACGACCTCAAACATCAGTCCATTAGCAAATCAAATTGCATTTTACAAAACAAAGCATTAGCATAATTTATTATTTGACATTTTGTACAGGAGGGACTCTCAGGAACTTTCAAGGTTGCCAAAGTCATGGAGGCTGGAAAACCAAAGAAGTAAGAGTTCTTCCCTTTGATTTTTCATGTGGGGCATGAAATAATGTTTTTGCTTTCACTTTAATTTCTTAATAGTCCATGCTGAAAGGTGGTGTTTGATAATCTATGCAGTAGAATTTAATATGAAGAAAATATAAGGATAATGTTTTTACATTCATTGAAAGAGTATATAACTACATATTCTTTGAATGGAAATTGAAATCACTGCCTAACTTTCTGCATGGAATATTAAAAATCCTGCTTTCTGCAGAGATTTTTAAAACATTGTGCAATTATCTGATTGTAAATATTAAAAAACCATCAACTTCACTGCATGGAACAGTAAAACCCTGTCATAGTGTTTTGATATTCTGGATACATGGATATAGGGGGATAGCATTTTAATATGATTCTCAGATGACAAAAATATTTTATATTAAATTTTTCAGAAAAAGTTCAAACCAGAACTTTGTCAAGCTATCTGGCTCTAATATGGTGTTTTATAAGGATCTAAGGGCATCAAAAAGCCAGCCAGGTTCCCCAAATGGAAGACCAGAGTTTATAGTACCCTTACATGGGGGGATGGTAGAAAAGCATGGCAAGGAAAAGGCTAACAAGAAGTATTTAAAGGTAAAGGGAGTGGCTATAACTCATAACAAAGAAACAACAAAATGTTTATGGCAATGGAAGACTGTCTCTTTCAGTCCAAGAATTGACAATTTTTCACATACTGCTCATTATACCCCACGCTTGAAAAGGGGGTGTCTGTCCACTTGTCTGTCTGTTCTTCCATCTGTTATGCTGGGGGGTTCCCATCTCTTATCCACAACTCCTCCTTTACCACTCAATAAAACTTAATGAGACTTTGATAAAATCTGGATTATTACATGGTGCCATTGTGCACCTCCTATTTTACATTTTCATTAAACATATTTGGAGTTTCCCATAGCAAAACATGGTCACAGCCATTCACTCTATAATAAAGAGTGGGGAGGGGGGTACCCATGTTTTTTTGGCAACTCATCCTATATTACTGAATAAAATTGAATGAGACTTTTACAGAGACTTTATGACATAGTGCCATTGTGCACCTTTTATTTAATGTATTGATCAGACACATATGAAGTTTACTATAGCAAAACATGGAAACTGCCATTCTTTCTATAATATGGGGTGAGTAGGTACCCCTCCCTTATCTGTAACTTCAAAAATACCACTGAATATATTTAATGAGACTTTTCTAAAATCTTAATTACATAGTTTCATTGTGCACCTCCTATTTAATCTTTCGATCAAACACATATTTGGGCTTACATGAACTTTGCCATTATATTTTTAGGGGAGCGGGGGTTAATTTTGTAAGGTCATTGTTCAAAGTTCCTCTAGTTTTTATTTTAAAATGTTTAAAACAGATATTAAAATGACCAATATTTGTATTTCCTCCACAATCAGAGGTTAAGTAATGAAGATTGTGTATTGATATGTTAAGAATAAAATGGTTATGATTGAAATGACAGAGTTTATTTACAGTTGACTACGAGCCAAGGAGACCAGTATATACTACAGTTTGAGGATGACATCATGATGATAAGTTGGCTAACTCAAATAGATAAAACAATAAGAAGTCTGGTGAGTTGTCTTTCTAACATAGAACTCGTACAGTCAAACCTTATCTCAAACTTAATGGGACCTAGAAAAAAAACTTCAATATATCCAAGGGTTTGAGATATTGAGCTTAAAATACATAAAGAAAAGTGTTTGGGACATCACTTGGACATATCCATGGTATTTGAGATATTGTTTTCAAGATACCAAAGTTCAACTGTATAACTTTAGTTCAGAAATAGGCATCTTAAATGATTGATGAGCTTGTGTTGTGTTTATAGAGTGAGAAGCTGGAATTCAAATATTTGACATCTTAATTAACAAATATTACTGTTCAGTATTAGAAGAGTTTTACTTGTGTACGATATTCTGCAATGCAAGAACTTCAAGAAAAGAGCATTCAATCTTTTTGATTGAATTCTATTCATTTACTTGATAACTCTGTATTGGAGAGGTTAAAATTTACTTAAGCATCAAACCTTATTAGGGCACTGCAAGGATCTGTGGGTGTCTTATAGTAATCATTATGTCTGCCTGTCTTTTTTTAGTCCAAAAACTTTCTGGGTCTTTTCCTAATGATTTTTTTTTATAGTTGTTCTATTAATTTAAAAGGAAAAGACATGGTGATGCCTGAATTTGGCCCATTATTTGATACAAAAATCAAAGCTCAATTAAAATTGTAATATATTGCAGTTAAAAACTTTAAATGATGAAATCTCTCAAACCTGCTTCAGATTTGAGTCAGACTTACATTTTCTGGATGAGTGACTATAGTTTTAAGTTTTTAGATAAGACCATTCCCAAGTAACTGCAAGCCCTATCAGACCAAAACTGCATAAATGTTGCATCAAAAGGTTACAGTGAAGAGAGTTTTTGAAAGTCAAACTGGTCTAGGTCATGAGGATGAGGTCAAAAATCATAGTACATTCTGAATGTCACAAGTAAAGCACAAAGGAAAAAAATATGAAAGCCCTGTCTGTTAGGTGCGAAAGCTTTGACCAAGGTTAAATTTTGGAAAAGTACATTATCTAATTTCAAAGTCAATTGAATGAGGCAAAAAATCATCTTATATGGGGAAAGGTCTTGACACAGGCTATGGACATGTAGCAGTATGAAAACCATTTCTCTTTAGGTTCAAAAGCTACAGAAAAAGTAAAAAAAAAAGGAAAAATTAGGACAAATTATAAGGTCAAGGTCATGAGGTCAAAAAATGGTAGTACTTCTGGAAAGGTGATACCACTGGTAATGCACCATAGAAATAATTTATGTTAGCCCTATCCTTTTTCAAAAGTTATAACCAATGTTTAAATTTTTGAGTGGGTCAAACTTCCAGGTCAAGGTCATGAGGTTAAAATTGATAGTACTTCTGGAAAGATGATGTCACAGGTAATGTACAGGTGAAAAAGAATAACAATATCTTCCCTCTTTCAAAAGTTATTACCAATATTAAAATTTTTGAAAAGTAGGTCAAACTTCAAGGTCAGGGTCACAAGGTAAAAAATATACAGTTGAACTTTGGTATCTCGAACACGGATATCTCAAATACCATGGATATGTTGAAGTGGTTGTGAAGTCCTAACCATGTATTTCTTAAGTATTTTACCCTCGATATCTGGAACCCTTGGATATCTCAAAGTTTTTCTCAGTCCCATTGAGCTCGAGATAACAAAGTTTGACTGTAGTACATTCGGAAAGTTCATGTCACAAGTAATGGACATGTGAAATATGAAAGCCATATCTTCTCTCAATGTAAAGTTATGGCCAATGTTAAAATTTTTGAAAAGTAGATCAATCAAGTTTTAAGGTCATGAGTTCAAAAGTGATATTGTAGTACTTTGTACTTTTTAAAAGTTGATGTCAATATGTAATGTACATGTGAAATAGGAAAGCCAAATCTTCCCTCCTTCAAAAGTTATAACTAGTATTAAAATTTTTGATTAGTATGTCAAAGGACTTGTCAAAAGCAATGCAAATGTGATATATGAAATCTGTATCTTCTCTCATTCGAAAGTTGAATGTTGAACCCTGGCTAAATGGTTCATACTCTCAATGACTTCTATTTTTAATACAGGGAGGATCTACAGATGTCACACCACCTTCACCGTCACAGTTAAGGCCGGAACCAGAAAAATTGCCAAAGAAAAAACCTTCCTTTAAAAGTAGGTTTTTACCATATTGGCTGCTGTCCTTTTTATAATGTACCTATATTCATCAGTTTATAAGAATCTTCCTCTTATTTTCATTTCATTTCGATGTATGTATTCTTGGATTTTATGTTTTCCTTGTACATGCAGTTAGGATTTGTAACATATTTGTTTCAAACCTACAAATATCTTATTATAGTTCTCCAAAACAAGACATTTCCCTAATAAGAGTAAAATGTAATAATTTGATAAATGAATATTTACACTGTTAGACCTCTTTCTGATTTTCTCAAAAAAACTGGAAATTGCAATTGGTTGGGGAAGCTGTTAATATCATGTCAGAGAAATTATTACAGTGAAAGGGAATTAGTTTTTATTGTTTGGCTAATTTTAAATAAATGCATTTTAAATTGATAATTAAAAAGGTGAATGCAAATCTTTATTGAACATATGTGTGTGGACTGTTGGTTAGTTTACATATTTATGAAGAACATGTTTATAAAATATTTTGTGAAATGACAAAAGTTTCGGTATTACTTAAAATAAGATGATAAGTTTTTTCTGACTAATTCGTTCATTAATTGTATTCTAAGAAAAATTCAGCTAAATTTACTAGCGTATTTAAAAGCATTGTATATAAATGTAAATGTTTCATCATTATTATTACATTACATTATTATTACATTATTGTTACATTACATTATTATTACATTATTGTTACATTACATTAATTATTATTACATTAGCAAGCCCCTCAAAGGAATCATTAACATTAGGTAATATTCATCTCATCTCTTGCTTTTATAATTCTCTCTGATTTAACAGAATTCTAATAAGTAATGTCATAAATATTGCAAGAATTATTCTAAATTTACAGAGGTTGCAAAAAATGAAAGAAAATGTTGACATCAATATCACCATGTAATAGAAGCTCTGTTTAATGCAATTTAATTCTTTAATTAGCTTTACTTTTTAAATCATACTAAGTCCCATACATATGCTACAGACAAATTTATGTGAGAAGTTTGATGGGTTTTATGAATATATTATTTTAGAAGCTCATTATATAAATAAATTGTAAAGTTTATTAAAAAGTGAGATGATTCTTGAAATGAATGTATTTCGGTATTTGTCAGTACTTGAAAATATACTTGTCAACGACTAATTTGAAGAACTGTAGTAATTTAATCAGTTTGTTTAATTATAATTTTACTTTGAATTTGCAAAAAACTTTTACTTTTTTCTTTGTTTCATTTTTAGTAATGAAATTAAGGATTTTCAATTTCATTTCCTTTTAAACTTAACACTTTTATCCTAGCTCATTCATTTAACACATTCCAAAGCTTTAATCTCATAATCCTTTTAATTATAATTTTCAAATTTTTAATTTATGTATAAAGATTCAAACTGCCATGTTTATTATACAGTCAAATGTCATTATCTTGAGCTCAGTTGGACTGAGAAAAAACCTGGAGATATCCAAGAATTTGAGATATTTATGGCAAAATACTCATAGGATAAGTGTTAAACTTTGGGACTTCCAAATCACTTTGATATATTCATGGTATTCAAGATATCAGTGTTTGAGATACCAAAGTTAAACCGTATTTTGCAAAGAAATTTTTTGATGCAGTTTAAAGGCCGACAAAGAGTGTATGTTTTAATTCCTTTGTGATCTGGAAGGTAAAACTCATTGAAAATATTTTCATGAAAAAGATCCGTCACTGCTCAATGGCCCTGAGTGCCAAGTATAGGTCAAAATTTGCAGCCCTTCACTGGCAAGTGGTGGCGTCTCGTATGAGTGAAAAAATTCTCTAGGGGGATGTTAAACAACAAACAAACAAACAACATTTTCATAATGATAACGTAGTGATTGACTGTGATTTTGACTTTCAAATTTTACAGTGATTAAGGAACATGATTGATTATAATATGGAACATTAACATAAAACATTATATGTATGTTAAAATAAGTAAACCTGTGTACAGTAAAACCTGATTATAGCAAAGTTCTGGGGACCTGCAAATTTACTTTGCTATATCTGTAATTTGTTATATCCATATAAAGATTTCCTTAAAGTATACATAGCGAATTTGCAATAAAGATTTTTTCCATTCATGTATATATATGACTACCAAATGTATTTAGGGAAGTATACATTACAATATTTACCCAGGAGTTCAAAAGTTTTCAGATGAATTGAGTTTCAAATATAAATAGTTAAAAAATTAATATCAGTTCACATTTAAAAAAATTTAGATCTTTAAAAATTCGCAATAAAAGATGTAATTCATGATTGTTAACTTTTAGGGGACACAAAATCAGTTTGCTATAATGGTAAATTTGCTTTATCCGAGTTCATTATATCCCTAAAATTTTAAAGGAACTGTTAAGAATTTCGCCAGGGATTGCAAAGAAATTTGCTATATCTGTAAATTCGCTATATCCATGTTCATACTAAACAAGTTTTACTGTATCTACATGCATATATTTCAGGTGTTACACACCAGAAAAAAATCTATGAAAGTCTTAGATCAAATTGATTTGTTATATTTTTTGTAATAATAACTTTAAAATATATATAATATAATGAAAAAAATGGAAACTACTGCTTAATAACACCTATCAAATTAAACATATTGTTACCCAATACATGCCTTTTTTTTTTTTTTTTGAAATTTATTTTACACCTAGTATATATTATTTCTCAATACAGTAAAACTTGTTAAGTATTAACATGGATATAGCGAATTTTTGGATTTAATGAAGTTTTTTGGGGATCCCAGGCAAAATTTTAACAATTCCTTGTAATATTGAAATGAGATTTAAAAAAAAAAAAAATTACAGATGTAGCGAATTGATTTTGTGACCTGTAGAAGATAAAAATAATGTAATGTACATCATTTAAAATAAAATTCAAAGCATTAAAATGACATTTTTTCACAAGTATTTATGTTTGAAATTAAATTCATCTGAAATTTTTAGTTCTGCAAGATAATGTCTGTATTTAATACTTACCCGAACATATTTTGTAGTCATACTTAAAAGGAAAATGTGTACTGGTATTGTGAATTTGCTATATATAATTTAATAAATTCATTTTATGGATATACAACAAGTTACAGATATAGTGAAGTAAATTAACAGGTCCCAAGGACTTTGCTATAACCCAGTTTTACTGTATATGCATTTCCAAAAATTACTGACATCATGCATATAAATATATTTGCATCATATTGCAAAACAGACTGATTTTACTTTCGGTTCAATATTTTGATCCATGTTATGAACCAGATTTAAATGTTGCATAACTTAGCTTTAAGAGTTTTGAAAATTTTAGATATTTTTGTTTATATATAACTATTTTTATCTTAAGAAATTACACCCTTTCCTGTATATATAAGATATAATCAGTTTTATTGAGTGGTTACTGTATACTGGCTTATCTAAGATAATGTATTTAATTTTTTTTCTCTTCGTATTTAATTTTGTTGATAAATAACATTTCAGTCAGAAAAGGAAGTTCTAATGAGGAAGGAAGTTTGGAGAGGGGCAAAATGAGGACCAAACTATTCAACTTCTTAAAATCAAGACCCACAAAAGAGTCTCTTGAGCAAAAGGGCATTATCAAGGGTAATTACTTGTAAATCCTTCAATTCAGCCATTTCTTGTATACTTATTGTGCCACACACAGTTATCCCTTGAGAATTAAGAAATTTTTCTATCCAATTAAAAATCCTATTTTTTTTTTTTTAATAATTATCAATTGAAAATGTTAATATGAATGCACAAGTATGTGCTTAATTTTTTTTTGATAGCCACTGTATCTGAAGTATAATTTTACACACTTTTTGCTTTTTGAAAGCTTTATCATTACAATTATTGTCAAGTGAAATCTATTTCTATAAGTTTTACATACATTGATTAGTTCATAATTTTGACACATCTTTACAAGCAGGATTAAACTTGTGATATTTAGATAGAAAATTTTGCACTTTTTTTCAGATGCTGTTTTTGGAGCTCATCTTAAACAACTTTGTGAGAGAGAAAAAGGAAAGATTCCTAAATTTGTGCAGAAATGTGTTGTGGCGATAGAGAAGAAAGGTCACTCTCACTTAATGGGACATGTTTTTATGCCCCGCCATGAATATGGCCGGGGCATATAGTGTTTGTCATGTCCGTCTTCCTTCCTTCCATCCTTCTGTCCTTCCGTCCTTCCATCTGTCCTTCCGTCACACTTTGCATTTAGCTCTGTTCAAAGCTCAGTTTCAAAGAAACTATCCAAGATATTTTTATCAAACTTCATATGCTGATAGATATTGATGAGAGCTATGCAACTGCATCAACATTTTTTGACCTTGACCTTTCCTTTGACCTTGACCTCACTTTTCTTAAATTAGTGTTTAGCTCAGTTTTAAAGATACCATTCAAGATAGTGTAATCAAACTTCATATGTTGATACATACTGATGTAAACTATTCAACTGCATCAACATTTTTTGACCTTGACCTTTCTTTTGACCTTGACCTCTGAATTAGTGTTTAGCTCAGATTTAATGAAACCATTCAAGATATTTTTAACAAACTTCATATGCTGATACATACTGATGAGAGCTATTCAACTGCATCAATATTTTTTACCTTGACCTTTCCTTTGACCTTGACCTCACTTTTCTTAAATAAGTGTTTAGCTCAGTTTTAAAGATACCATTCAAGATAGTGTTATCATACTTCATATGCTGATACATACTGATGAGAGCTATTCAACTGCATCAATATTTTTTGACCTTGACCTTTCCTTTAACCTTGACCTCACTTTTCTTAAATTATTGTTTAGCTCAGTTTTAAAGAAACCATTCCTAATATTTTTATCAAACTTCATATGCTAATACATACTGATGTAACATTTTCAACTGCATCAACAATTTTTGACCTTGACCTTTCCTTTCACCTTGACCTCACTTTTCTTAAATTAGTGTCAAACTGCATATGGTGATACATACTGATGTAAGCTATTCAACTGCATCAATATTTTTTCACCTTGACCTTTCCTTTCACCTTGACCTCACTTTTCTCAATTTGTGTTAAAATGTTGTGTTACTAATATACCCTCGGCGGGGCATTCATGTCCTATGGACATATTTCTAGTTTTTTCTGTATTTTTGTAAAAAGGATATTAAAACATCCAACATACTCTTCATTACTAAAATATTTTGATCTTATTAATTAGGGTGCTTAGTAATACTTATAAGTACCAGCTTGTAAATAAATGATCTGTACAAATAAGGCATGAGTCACAGTTTATAGAATACTGGACAAAATACATTTCTGGATTTGGCTCTGCATTTGCAAAGCACCAAACATGACTCCATGTTAAAGCCTCAGTTGAATAATGTATTTTTTTGGGTAGAATGTTTTGTTAAAACCTGCAGTATTTGAAAGCATGAAAATTCTTAATGCTTCATAAAGCTAAACAAGCAAATTCTAAGAATTTTGGTACCCCACTTTTGGTGTCTCAGTGGTTAGATGCAATTATTTATGCCATATTTTAACTGTCTTGTCTGTGTATCCTGTCTTGGCAGTCCATCATAAAAAGAAAAATTTAAATTTTAGAATGATTTAGAGTTGCATCCATGAAAATTAAAGTTTCTTAAAAGTGTACAAACTTCAAGATGAAGGTCATGAGTTCAAATATAGTACATGTACAATCTAAAAGGTCTAGTCACAAGTAATTCACATATGAAAAAAATATGAAAGTCCTGCTTTTCTGGAGCAAAAGTAAGGACCAAAGTTTAAATTTTAGTTAAGTAGGCCAAACTTCTAGGTCAAAGTCATGAAGTTTTGAAAAGTATTATGGGTTAAACTTAAAGGTTAAGGTCACAAGGTAAAAAAAGAAGAGGTAAATTTGGCAAGGTAAAAGGTAATATGCACATATGAAATATGATTCAATGCCCTCTCTTCTCTCATTCAAAAGTTATTACCAAGTAAAAATTTTTGAATTTTTTTTTCAAAGTTTTGTAATATTCATTGAATACACTCAATTTCAATCCAGAGTCATTTAACAAAGTAAATATTTAATATTCAATAATAATTACACACCCTGATATGAAAACAACAGTCAAGACGTGAGTTTTACAATAACATTTAATACTTTACTCATGGATTGAAATAAGATGTGAACTTTATGACACTCTCCCCGTCATGACTTCTCAAGTTTGCTGTGTCTAGATGTCATATTGCATTATGCCATCATATCTTGGTAGTTCAGAGAAGTGGCTGCATAAGATGTAGTGTGATATTTTACGGGAAACCTTAACCTTCCTTTGTACATTGCAATATATTTTATTATTATTATATAACAAATTATATGAAGAAGCAAGAAGATGTTACCATGATTTGATAATTGATATTATTCATGTGAGTGTTGTAGATATTATTTCTATATGTCTATTCCTTCCTAAGGTTCCTACTCTGTATTTATAGGTCTGGATCATGATGGGATGTACAGGATAAGTGGAAATCTTGCTCAAATCCAGAAACTCAGGTGCCAGGTTGATCAAGGTAAGAGATGAACAAATGGTTTACAGATAGGTCAAGGTCATTTTAAGTATAAAATTCCTGGATCTTGCAGGCATGGTAATAATTTTCATATTTTATTGAGCCCTGAGGCACCTTGATGGATTATGTAAGAATTGAAATGGAAGGGGGTGGGGTGGGGAATAAAAGCATTCTTTGCCAGATGGATGAAGGTGAGAGCTGAAAGTTGGTTATTAGTATAATGTATGACATTTTAGCAATTATATTTTACTCTTGTCCATTAAATTATGAAATACTGATAAGCAAGAGATATCCCTCTTTCTGATTGGTTGAAATCTTTAGTTAACATTTTGAAAATATATAACATTCACCTTGTGTGCCATTGACATGTAAACATAAATAGAAATTCTAGTTTGTAATTGTGATATGTCGGGTTTCTTTATTTAAACATATAATCATGATGTCATAATTGTATGACATTTCAAGCAGTACAATCAAGAGTACTCTTCAGGGATATGAGTTGATGGTTTGAGTTAATGAAAACAGAAAAAAAGATGTGTCTTGCAAATCGATGTGTTCATAATTATTATGAAACAATTATTGTATATGCTCAAAACAATCATTTTACTCAAAGAATAATATTCACCTTGCCAGTCTGATTCAGATTCCCTAACACTTAAACATTTTGTAAATACTGTCCTTCTTGGAGAGAAAAAGACTGTATTGACCTTGTATAGGGCAGCAATTATTGTATATCCTTGGCCAAAATTAGGGAAATTATGCTGAAATTAATAAGTGCTTATTGTAGTGTATATTTTACATATGAATATCATATTTATACATAATTGCTGTAAATCTGCATATGAATATATGTTACTGTACACTTCAATGACATACACTGTGAATATCAGCTAGCTTTAAATATTTTCTCATGTAAAATAAGTACAGAAGCAGAGTTTATAATTATATTCAGCACTGTATTGAAATAATAAAAAAAAAATAAATGCATGGAACATAATCTTTTATGACATAATACTTCCTAACATTTATTTAAATTTTTATTAACTTGACGTGAATTTATGTTAACAATTTAAATACAGATTAGTAGCATGTTTCTGTTTTACTAATCATAACTTGTAAAGTTAAAATAAAGAGTTCTGTATTATAGGATATGTATGTTAAAATTAAGACCTGGATATATGACTTACTGGTTGGGTTGTTATATCAGTTCCTTAATTTTGTTTTATACGCCCCTCCTAAGATGGTTGTATTATGTTATGGTGTTCATGTCCATCTGTCTATTAGCTTTTTCATGTTTGGCTCATAAATTAAGTTCTGTGAAGATAGAATAATCAAACTTAATCAGCTGATAGAAGGTTTGTCATACAATAAAACTAGGTCATAATGACCTTCAATGAAGATGATATATAGCCAAATATGGCAAAATCCTGTCAAGGTCATGCAAGACTGGAAAACTATTACACTTAGAATCATCAAACTTGGTCAGTTAATGCATCTTAAGTAGAGAGTATGTCACACCCTACATTGAGGTCATTGTGACTTTAAATTAAGGTGGTATCTTTTTTTTTTTTTTTAAAGTATGTTTTAGGGGAGAATTCTCTGTAGGTGTAAGCTTAAGAGTTTCTTATTTAAAATCAAGAAAATACACATTTTTTTTCATGATATACTGTACAGCTAATATATATATATATATATATATATATATATATATATATATAGATATAGATATATATATATATATATATATATATATATTTCCAAATATTTTTCATTAATATTCTTTGCAAATTAGAAGACTGTTCATTTTGTCATGAACTACCATTGGTGAGCATGAATACCGCAATTGTTATGTCATTATACTGTACTTGACGTCAAAACTATAGTGCAAACTGTTTTGCTTTTAAAAATGACAGTTGAATGGCGTAATTTGTTACAACTCATCAGAAAATAATGTAAATATAAGAAATGAATTAAATTTTTGAAAATTCATGAGGTACATGAACTACAAAGCTTCAAGAGTTAGTGTAAGAAGACTGTGACAGTCTTGATCATTTCTGTTCGAGATTCTCTGATCAAGCAGGTACCTGTTATCTTCATCTCATGGGAATTGGGCAGAGGAATTTGGCCTCATAATTACAATTAATAGTATCTGTCAAATTAAAATAATTCTTGATGACAAGCCTTTATTAAAAATTTCTGCATCACTACAATAAACATATTCTGAGAAACTCTCTCTGTGCAGTTACTTTGTTAAAAAAAGAGAATTTGGAAAGTGGATAGGGGAAGAAAACAATTTCACCACTGTTGATTACATGTATATAAAAGGAGATTAAAAACAAAAATGGAAGCAATAACCCTGCATGTTTTTAAATAGCTTGTATTTATTTTTTCTCTCTTAATTTTAACAATAAATAGATGCAGAGCGCAACACATTAAATGAGACTCAGAAAGGTAATAGACAAGAAGTACACAATAAAGTATAACTGTCTTAGTCTGCATTGCTCTCCACTGTATATCATTGATTGATTTTTAGAATATCAGAGTATTTATTTTGGAGCAATCTATTTGAAAAAATTTCATACTTGATAAAATGTTTTAGTAAATTTGACTTTTGAAATATTATAATTAAACATGTTACAAATGTATGCACAACTCTAGACTTTGATTCTGCATTTCAGTTAACTCTTAATTTCTTTAACTTCTCTGTCTTTTATAGCATGAATTTGCACAAAATTACGAGATATATATAAAATTACGTGATTTGGCCATATTTTGTGTGAACTTAATTTGACAAATTTACAAATGAAATGAAAATAGCATGTCTATGAATGAGTAATGCACTTAGATCATTCCTATTTGATTTTGTTTGAAAATTTAATTTAAATTTCTAATCGGATAGAGTAAAATATTTCAACATCAGAGTGTTTCTTCTAATAAGATTTGTTTGGTTAGTAGCTAGTTTTATACAAATAAATAGTGATAGCTATATAACAATTTTTTTTTTTACTTATGAATGTTATTTTGAATGATATACTATTTGTTCTGCCTGTTTGGAAACTTAATAGGGACATACAAATTTAATGCAAATTCTACATTTAAGTTCTTAACCACTTACTAAAATTGAGACTACTTACATGTATAATGAACCTTTCAACCTTTCAACAACATATTATGATATTAAGTATTTGTCCAAAGTAATTAAGAACTTGTATGTGACTACTTCTTCATTTCCTGACATCACATCATCTTACATTACAGACCACTATAACTTAGAGGATGAATGCTGGGACATCCATGTTTTAACTGGTTCCCTTAAACTGTTCTTCAGAGAATTAAAAGAGCCTTTGTTCACTTTTGGAGTATTTGACAAGTTTATTCCTGCTCTAGGTAAGAGGGAAGATTTTGATATGCCTTTGTTAATCAATGTTTTGTTCCATCTCTAAGAGATTGTTAAGGTCATCTTTATAAATCACTCTTTGTTATATATACAGTCAAACTTCATTATCTCGAACTCAGTGGAGACAAGAAAATAATTTGAGATATTTGAGCATTTGAAATATCAAGGTTAAAATATATTTAGAAAATTTAAGTGTCTTGGACTTCAAACTCAGTTTGACACATCCATCATACTCGAGATAATGATGTTTGATATTCCGAAATGCATAATTTTTTACTGGAAATATCAAGAAATGTTTTTTTCTGCCATTGAAAAATTTTGTCTATGATGATAAAAGGTCTTTCTTATCATATTTCATATAATAATAAAAATTGGATCCTGGATTTCTGACTTTCCTTCTATATTATAGTTTTTGTAAATTAACGGAACATTTCATTTACTGTTTAAAAAGGCAAGGAAAAGAACAATGATCGTTTAAAAGCCGTGAGAGATTTAATCAACACACTACCAAAGTATAACTATGAAACATTGAAATTCCTGCTTGCCCACTTATGCAAGTAAGTCTGAAGTTTATAAGAAATATTTCATTTGAGATCTTAATAGGAAATCTTCAACCTTGAATATATGTAAATTTATAATTCTTTCTTTGTGTGTCTTTTTTTTTTTACAGTCCTTTATTAATGCATTTGTCTTCTTTTTTTAAATTCCAAAAGAATGATAAAGATAAAAATAAATAAATAAAGAAGCAAACATGAACAAATGGTGTCCTTCTAATTGTAGGGTCATAGAGCATAGCAAGGAGAATCGGATGCAGGTCCATAGTGTTGCCATAGTCTTTGGCCCCACGTTAATTTGGCCAGAGACTGTAACGCCAAACTTAGCTGCCAATATGATTTACCAGAGTCGGATTGTAGAGTACTGTCTTTTGGAGTACAGAAATATTTTTAGGTGAAAAAAAAGAAGCATGATTTGTGTACAGTGCACTTTTTCTCTATTTCGTGCTCTAGACTACAAATACTGTGTATGAAAGAACTTGGTCAGATTGGGATAGAAGAAAAAATACAAGTAAAAGTATTATGCTAAGGCTCAAAGTAAGATGATGATTTTCAAAATGAGGAATCAGTCTGGGAATTATTGAGATGAAAACTACATGAGAGATCAGAGATACAGAGGCATCAGTTACAGCTGTAGAGAATTTGTCCTATCTGACAAGGTCAGAGGTCAAATGTTACAAGGTCATTAGTGATTTCAAGGATGACCGGCTGTTAAAGAATGCTCAGTATATGCCAAAATGGAGAGTTTTTGTTGTCTTTCTACAAAGTGCTGTCAAAGTCTGCAAACTATTTACAAAACTTATTTATAGCTTCTTCTGTTTAAGATTTAGCTTTATGCTTAAACATTAATGATTTCCTTTATATTTAAATGCTAAATATCTGATGGTGAAAATTGAAAGAAATTTTTTGACAAATGATTTTTTAAAATTCTCTACTGTATGTGCTGTAAAGCTTAGTCAGTAGCAAGAAATTCATTTGTTTTAGATTTTAGTTTTTTTTTCTTGAAATTTAAATATGATGAATGTTTCACAAGAAATCACATCCAAACAGATTAATTTTTCGTTTACTGAAAACAGCTTGTTTATTCAAATGTAGATGTGCATGTGTTCTCAATGAAAACATTCCATTTTGGTAACATTCCTAATGTATATATTCTGTTCTATTTTTAAATACAGATATTTATTTACATTTAATTCATAATTTATGTATACATCTTTTAAATCATTGTCATTTAAATGATAGTTACTTAAATGCAAAAATGTGTTAACAAATTATAATCAGACATTACAGAGAGTATTACTAACAATATACAATGTATAACATAATTACAGTTAAACTTCATTATCTGGAACACCAATATCTCGAATACTAGGGATATTTTGAAGCAATATGGTAGTCCTTATGTTTTTTAACCTTGTTATCTCGAATCCACAGATATTTAGTTTAAACTAGGTTCTGTCTAGTTGGAGATGGCAAGATTTGACTGTAAATTTATTACATAATTGGGACAAACATAATTTCCCTTGTTACCATTTTATTTAAATACTCTTCTTTTATTGCTAATATTGCAGTTGGAAGGCAGAGAATGATTACTACTATCGTTAGAGGTTAGTTACGAATATGTAAATTTTTTCTAGATATATAAGTAATTAGTATGCTTTGGTATTCAGTGGATAGCGTTGAACCTGTGTACATTTTTGTTATTCAGGTTCAGCAGGTATTTCCACTGGTTTATCTCCTGTTTTTACATTATGTGAACCTATCTGTAATTCTGCATGATTCAGATATTCTTATTTAATTCTGTTATTGGTATGTCTATTTTCTTGAAAGCATTTCTTCTTTAAATAGATATGAATTCAATTTAATATTATTATTCTTGTAAGCAAAATCTTACAAATTTGGCAAGGAATTTTTTTCCTGATTATTTTAATCGGTGCTTGTGGTTGATGCCTTTTTTTCACCAATATTGTTTGAATTATAGTCTGCATAATAATGTTTTTCAGGTATGTTTTTTAAAAATGTTTCTTCACTGTACCATCCGAAGTTTATGGGTCATATTTATCATCTAAAAGTCAATTGAGATGCAGCACAGATTCTAAGCAGAACTCATTTTTTTCCTTTTGATATACTTTTATGTTGTGTATTTGAATGGAAAAATAATTGAGTTAGACATACTTTTTTCAAACCAAACATTTTTCAAACATACAAAGGGACACAAATGTTACCCGGTTATAATTTCTTAACATTTCTCTTTACAACAATGGACCAACTGTTCACATTTCTCTTCTGTATTTCTATATATATGTTCTATTTTCTGATATCTTCGTTTTTGAGATAAATATCTTTACATCTGCATTTCAGTATAAAAATGGAATGTATTTCAAAGAAGAATTTTCCATTTCGTCAAATATGATTTTTGTGGTAAAAGAATAGATCACTTAACTTTCGTAACACCTTATTTTACTAGTAATTTATTAGGTATTTCACATATTTTGGTTATTGTTTTAAATAATCTTTCATGATACAGATATATGAAGTAGGAATGAAATGTTTGCAGCAGCAGCCTCATGTACTTATTCAAAAATAACATTCTTGCAAATAAAAAGTGATTTACAGTATTTCGATCTGGTAAGAAACTGCATTTATACATTCCCTTAGAAATATTTCCTTATTTATTTTTTTTAAATGAAAAATTTTTATTTCTGAATTAAAACAAACAAAAATGGTTCAAAATTTTTTCAGGGTTAGAGAAAAATATATACCTGGCTGAGAGTTATCTTTCATGCATGTTGAATTATTATATTACGGTAATTTGAAACATCAGTCCACACTCTCTGCCAAAGTCTTAGAGAATATGCTGATACTTACTAGATAATGAATATGTGTTAATCATGTATAAACTCACCTGACGGTTGACAATCTTTTTTAGCTTATATATCTTGATAAACTACAGCAACTTACCTTTTTTTGTTACATTTTGTGATTCATGTGTTTCTGCATTCTGCCATATTGATTTGAAATGCATTGATCTTTTTCGTTCAGCATACAAGAATATCATTGATGAAATATCAGTAAATTATTTTGTAAGTTAGTAACAGAAAATTTATGGACTAAAATAAATTTTATACTTTATACTAAAATTGACTTTTCCCTATAATTATGGAATATGATCATGTTGTGGAGTTTTGGGTACTTTAGAAAAATGCAGAGACATAGCATCTTTGATTTAAATCAAATATTTTTTCTCCTTCATAAATTATATCAAATCGTTTTGTTAATCTTTTGCTGCCCTCTTTTAATCATAAATATGAAAATAGAATGCCATAGAGGTATTTTTCCTTATTTAATATGAAGACAGACAGGTAAAAAGATGGATTTATTGTAATAGAATATTAAGAACATCCAGTGTGTACTTACTGTTCTGTGTTATTGATATAAGCCTATACCAGTCCATTCTCGTTTGATCTTCCTACAGTTATGGTGCTATATGAAGACATTGTCTGTGATTGTGTACTGTCTTCTATGTACAGCGTTTGATGTTCACTTCGACATTTTATACCAGGAGAACATTTTGATGTTATGTCAAAGTCGCTGTTTTATTTTTATGTTTCTCCAAGACCCTTCAACCTCCCCATCCATTAAAATTCTTTTTATATCATCACACAGTTTCAAGTTTGAAGGGACATCGCAGACTTTATATTTCTTGTTGGGGATAAAGGTTATTGTGGATTTTGTTTGAAAACGTGTCATTTAAATGTGAAAGATTCCTTCATGGAATATCTACATGTACTTTTCCTGAAATTTATTATGTGTGTTTGTTAACTTCAGTTTATGTATAGGACCAAATGAAGCATAAAATAATTTTAAGCAGTACATGTAATTGAATAAGAGTCTGCAGTGGGTTGTTAGGTAAATGTTTTTGGACAAATCAGAAAAAAAAAAATAGCACTCTGAAGATGTGATGCTTTTTACATTCCTGTTTGTATGTTTTCAGTTGAATGTATTGAACTGAGTACAAGGGGTATAAATGAACATTTGTTAACATAGTATTTCGTGTTGCTATATATAGATAGATTTATACAAAACAACGAGTTCATTATATTTTTTTGTTGATATATGAAACATTTATTATCGTGTAAATATTATGTTACAAAAACTCTAATCTGTTAATACAAATATGTATAGATCGGATTAATATTTAAAATATGTGTGCTTGTTTTTTGTTCAAACAAGAAATGTATTAATAAAACATTTAACATATTCTTGAATTTTGATTTTATTTCATAAAGTTGCAAAAACGAAACATGTTTTAACCCTCTTCTTTCTCAAGACAAAGCATTTCATGATTTTTATTTCATATCTGTTCAGAACCCCTGATAAGATATGCTAATTTTTCTGGTCAAAGAACATCTGACGATGGTGCTGTGATTTTAAAATACGAATATATTGGGGAAATTATCAATGGGTAAGATACGTTGTCATGTATGTTCTATTTGACCTTTAAAAATGTTCCATATGTTTAAAAATCTTTAGTGGCATAAAAGAAACACGTTAAAAATTATTAGTAAACCGTTGAAAAATTTGTTTAACCTGCATTAAACCAGGGAAGTTTTAATGTTTCAAACTTTTAACGATTAATACTATTTAGATATCAATTTTTAAGTTTCGCTAGATCGGCTGTGTAAAGGGACTTAATTCACGCCTTATGCGTGTTGTAAAGTTGTATCTGTATTTTTAATATTTGTAATTTTAATCAAGTTTGTATAAGTTTGAAAGCAGAGTTTTAGGACAGTTCATTATTTGACGATAAAGCTTGAAACATGTAGTACACAGTCTACCCAGTAAAATTAACTGCATGTATTTAACTATAAAAATATTTTAATGACTTACAGCGGGTCTAGGGTTGCGTTAGGTGGGGTCTCTACAACTGGTTCCAAAATCTTTGTAAGCCCCTGAGAATCAGCAATTAAAGAGCTCAATTTTGACACCAAAGTTTATCACAAAAATGTATGACAGTGAAATTATATTTAATTTTTTTTTGTTTTGGATGGGGGATGGGGCGCCCCTTGTGAACTCGCGCCTGGACGTTATTTTTTTCTGCTATTTCAATAGCTATTCATTATTTATCTTGAGTTTCAATGAAAATGGTTAAGATTTCACCGAATAATTGTAAAACAAACAAGAATAACATAATATACAACAAATGAGGGAATACACACAAATAACGTATACAATTTTTTTTCAGGACGTGGCTACAGACTCTAGTCAGCAAAATTTGTATTTTGAATGGGTTGCGTTGAGTCTTAAAGTACAGTGAAAACCTAATGCTGCCAAACCTTGCTTTAATTGAAATCAATGTTACCTAATTCAAACATGATGTGTTAGACTTAAGTTTTCAAAATGATCTCATTCAAATAGTCTCATGATAAATTTAAACCGTCCGTTACACGAAAAGAAGGTGCGGAAAGTATGTAATGGAGATTAATGAACGTTTCTGAACGACAGCGTGACAGGCAGAACACGCTCTCTGAAACAGAAGAAGATATTAAGTACTATAGCAAACGTCTCCAAACGGTCATTTGCCACTTCAGCGTAGACAAAGTGAGCAAAAAATCCATCGCCAGTTCATTTCTCAGCAGCCAGATTATATCAAGAATTGGTTTTTTCATGGCATTTCAAATCGTTGTAT